CCCCGGGCCACGGCCGAGCCAGTCCCAGCACCCCCCCGCCAAGGTCGGACTTTGCACAGCGCCGATTAACCAGCAGCTCCCGCTCCCGACGGCTTCCCGCAGCGGTCCCGTGTTTGCCCAGGGCAAGCAGAGCTGGGAGCGCTCCAGCTGCGAGCGCGGCAGCAGCCTGAGCGTCATCGCGCCCCGGGGACGGGGAAAGCAGGGCTGCCGTGCTCCTCTTGCCGGGGGGGAAGCGGGGGCAAAAGCGATTGCCCCAGGCCAGGGACAGCAGCAGCACACGGGGCAAAGGCACTTGCAGGGATTCGCTTCGCTGAGAAGCGCCCCGGTGCCCTGCAAGGTGGAGGGGACGCCGGAGGTGGCACTCTCGGGAGGACGGGAGGTGGCACTCTCGGGAGGACGGGAGGTGGCACTCTCGGGAGGACGGGAGGCGGCACTCACGGTCCTTGAAGTTGGACGCCGTGGTGGAGCTGCGCCTCCGCCCAAAGGTTCTCTGCAAGAGGAAGAAGAGGAGAAGGCGCTGCAGTTACTGCATTTCTGTGGCTCTGGGAGGCACCGAGCTCTTTCAGGAAAGGGGAGAAGTTTCCCGCGCGGCCAGTCAGCAAATACCACCCCGTTCTTTCAGCCTGATTTTTGTCTGAGCTTTTGTTTGCCTTACTGAAGTGACTCAGCTCTCACCTTGCGTTATCGGGGTCACTGCCTTTCACATCTATCTGTCTCACACCTGGACTTTGCCTGCACTGGAGTCTCCTTTTCCCCAGACCTGCTTCACCCATGTTTGTGTACAACCAACCGCCACCTCGGAGCCACACACCCGGCCAACCCCACCCTGCAAACATGCCTGCAGCCGCCTGCCGACAAGCAGGAGCCCCGGAGCAGCCAGCTGTGCTCCCCACGAAAGCCAGGTCAGCTATTTGCGGGCTCTCCAGGGACCTACAGCATCTGCTGGTGACACGCAGGCGTCCCAAGGCACAAGTCACGTCACCAGGCTCAGCAAGCCCTGCCAGCTCCACGCTGGGCTCACACAGCTCTAACTGGGTTGCAGGAAAAAGGCTCTGCAGATCCCCCGGCAGCAGCTCATCACCAGGGAAAGCAGGGGCACCCTAGAGTGGGGTGGCAGCGGGTGCAAAACGCACCTTGTTCCTGCCGGGGCTGCGGGCCGGCATGGCACTGCCCTCCTCCGACACAGGCTTCAGCAAGGGGACGGTGCTCGCCGGCTCCGGCTCCTCGCCCAGGCCCTTCATGGCCGCGCGGTAGGACATGTTCCTCAGGTTGCGCTTGAGGGCCCCCCCACCGTCATCCTCCACCTCCGCCTCCAGGGAGAGGTTGGGGACAGATGTCCGCTTCGGGTCGGGGCTCAGGGGCTCCTGGCGCGAGCCAGCTGCCCCAAAGCTCTGGTGCCGGGAGGGGTTGGTCTTGGTCTTGGTGGAGACAGCCAAGCTTTTGGGGATCAGCTGCTGGGTTCCCACCTTCAGCGCGGCCGGGCTGTCCGTGCTGAGGACGATGCGGCGGGGCTCGGCTGTGGTGGAAGAGCCCATTGCCGAGAGCGAGGCGGCGTTGGACGCCGTGGTGGAGCTGCGCTTCCCGGTGGGGGAGGTTGGGCTGGGGGGCTCCGGCCGCACGGGGTGGCATCGGTACTCCAGGAGAGAGGTCTTGTCATCCACAGAGCTGCTGGAGGGGCTCCGAGACATGACAGCAGCACAGGGAACCAGAGAGCTGCGTAAGACAGACAGGCAGACAGAGAGATGAAATGACTTTTCCCTGTAAGGCAGAGAGCATTTAGGCTTAGCCACGGCCAGCGCACCATTTTGCCTGTGGAACCTCGGGGCAGCGCAGGACCCAGCCTCCGCTTTCCCCGGGTGCTGTACGCAGGCAGAGCCCATACAGACGCGCGTGAGGCTCTCGCTGCCCACGCACCTCTCCTGGGGCCACCAGGAGTCCCCAGGCTGACGTGCTGCGAAAACCCTGGTGGGTGCCTCAGCACAAGCCCTGTGCTCCTCAAAGCTCGCACCCATCCCAAACCACTCCGAGGAACGGCTCCCTGCCGCAGGCAAAACCACCTGCGTGAGTCCCTAAAGCTCCTCGCTCGGGGTTAAGCTTACTCATCTCCTCCTGTGCCACACCACGTACCGGGCACCTACAGAACAAACATCCGACGGAGCATTTTACGCCCACTGCCTACCCCATTTCGTAATTTGAGGAAAAAACTACGGTTTAATTTCTCTCAACTGAGATCTCACTGTATGCCATCACCGTCACCAAGCTGCTCCTTTTCAAAGGCCGAGGCCCAGGAAAAGCGCAAACCAGAGCCATCAACAGAAGCTCATTTGATCAAGATGCTGCGTATTTCCCTGTCCTTGGATGAGGGACACGTGCCCCTCGGCCAGAGGTCTGCCAGATGTCCCGCGGATGAGAAAAGCACCACGCTCCGCTCCCAGCCCCGTCCTGAGCCTGCCCTCAGCACTGATAACAAGAAACGGGCACGCCCGGTTTCAGAGGCACCGGGTGCTACAACATCCCCCAGGTCTCGGGTGCCACCGAAGGAGCCCGGACCCCTACACAGGGCCTTGAACCTCCGGCCC